TATACAGGGTAAGAATATTCTTTGCTGTCAGGTGCAGCCACAGTATCCATCTCTCAATATTTTCAGTACAACCAAGTGCATACCTAACACCCTACAGATGTCCACCTGCCTCTTAATGCAAACCGCTGCAAATGGACAAGAATATGCCTTAACTACACTGAACTGAACTAAAACTTCTCTGAAACCGATGCCTAAATAATGTTTTTCCTATATTAATATTTTTGCAAGAGCCTTTAATCCAGTGTAAATTACCTTAAAAGAACCAAATTGCTAATACCTTTTCCATAACCAATGAAAAAATTGGAAAAATTGGACAACAGGTGAAGAATCAAATCCAATACACTAACTTCACCTTTCCCGACAAATGAAAGCATTTTACATCAGTAGGTGCATATACCCAATGCTTAGAAAGACAATCATTTATTTAAAAAAAAAAAAAAAAAAAAAGCAATCATTACAGACCAGAACACTTCTGACCACCTAGCAAAGAATGCATGTGGCAGTAAGTGGCCTTTATAAAACAATTAAGGATATCAGTTCACTCAGCAAATCCTTACCAACTTAAGGTCATGCAGTCTAACCTCAACATTATTGACAGCTCTGACAGCAAATGCATTAATTTCAAAGCTACCAGACAGAAAGCAACTGTAAAACAGAACTGAATTATTTACAGAAATCATTACTGACCCCTACCTCAGAAGTTGATACAAATGTCTTAAGTCACTATCCTTAGAACAAATTCTAAGAATAAATTCTCATTTTCTTCATGAATTCAGGTCTCAAAAGAATTCTCCAAACTGACTTCACTTAAAATCAAAATTTATCTAACAAAAAACGAGGGAGAAAGAGAAGAAAAGGTGAGGAAGAGGGAAGGCTCCACAAAATAGATATAAAACTTCAGAACTCATGGTCTCTACAGGAAAAAAAAAAAAAGATATTAAATAAGTATTTTATACAATCATTAATAAGATAGCTTCTGGTAGCTAAACCCTTGGACTACAACCAAGGCCAAACACTTGAAGTAAGTGAAAAACCACCAAGTGCATGCATACTTCTAAATTTCTCTTTACAAACGCCATCTCACATATACTGTTTTAATATAAAAACATTTCCTACACATTTGTCTTACTAAAAAGGCTGAGGTCAAAATTTAAAAGTAAAATGATGGGGTGCGTGGGTGGCTCAGCTCAGGTCATGATCCTGGAGTCCTGGGATCGAGTGCCCCATCAAGCTCTCTGCTTGGTGGAGAGTTTGCTTCTCCCTCTGACCCTCCCCCATCTCTTGCTCGCTCTCTCTCTCTCATTCTCCCTCAAATAAATAAATAAAATCTTAAAAAAAAAAATGTTTACTGAGAGTGACTTAATGTTGAAACTTCGTGCATTCATTTTCCCATAGTAACTATTCCTCCATTAAAAGTCACTGAAGTATAATTACTGAAGTGGCCTAAAAAATATTAAGTATTAAGGTATCACCAAATGAACAAACAGCAAATGGAGCAAATCTCAAAATGAGAACATGTGAAAATATGAATTAAGAAGCTTGTGTATTTTATTTAAGTGGTTATTAGGAAAAAACAGATGTACTGTTCCACACAAAAACTAAAACATTGATTGCTGCCTTGGTCATGTTGTTAAAATTCCAAAAGGAAGGAACAGCAATGCATCTTTCTTTTTCTACAGTTTCTAAAAATAAATTTTAAACTGAGGTGGTTATAAGTCACCATATTTCAGGACGTTTATTCACATACTATGCCTTTGGTGCACGATACACAATGTGAATCCACAAATGACTGCACTACTCTGTAAACCTTCACAATGCACAGCAATAAAATCCCTTTTTCCTTACATTAAGTCAGAGACTGTAAATTATTCTCCTTTCAGAGGCACTTTATTCTTGAATAATCTTCATGAAAATGAAGTTTGTAAACTGTTACACAGCAATTAGGATGCCCAGTCATGTTGCTCAGAAAAGAAATGCAACTTAGCAGATATGAAACAGGGCAAAATAAAAATTGTTAATTAAAAAAAAAAAAAACACATCTCACAGTATGGTCATTTCAATAATCACTAATCTTAAAAAACAATAGTTAACTTCAACAGTCCCTGTACCATCTACAAGTTAAAAAAACTCCCTACGATTAACATTTGAAAAGATGCAAACTTATCAAAAAATAAAAATACATACAACCAAAGCCTAAAATTTCCAGGAAATCTAAAGACACTAAACTTTTTTACAGTCTCACGGTCAATGCTACTTTCCAGACTAACAATAAGGTACCAACAAATTATTTTTAGAATAACTCAATTTTGCAAATAATATAGAAAAATTTGCAAATAATCGTTCTCAATTTTCCTCTGAGAAATCACTACGTTCTTAATCTTTCTTATCAGATAGAAACACTCCAATCACTACTTTCATAAAGAAATTTAACTTCTCACAGGCTAGCTGCTGAAACAGATACTACAACCTGTCAGAGACCGTCTTCAATGGCCATTTTAATCACCACCCCCCCAAAATAAACACAGAACACTAAAGTGAAACCAAGCAAACCAAAGTGCTTTGGTGTATCAAAATTATTGGAAGTGCAACTATGAAAAAAGAGCCCTTCGCTGACTTTTTCCTAAGTGATTTTTTTTCATATCAATATTTGGCTCAATAAAACCACTACTCTAGAAATTAAGTGTTATTAGTCATTTGATGCAATATTTGACACTGCTTTCTATATATAACTAAAAGCAGTGCTCGAGAAAGTTTTAACTCACATAAATTTCACGTGCAAAGGCACACTTCTGAAATCAACGGAGACCTGGCCAATCATCTCACTACTCACGTGTAAATAACCTGGTAGCATAATTTTAAACTTAAAACCCTGCTAAATTTTAAAGCAAATGAGTAAAGTAAAAATAGTATAAACGTACTCTGAATAATAAAAGCGATCTACCAAACAGCATTAGAGGCATTTTTTTGCATGGGGACTTTTCTGAAAAAGTTAACGAAACAGTTAATCAACTTGTTCCTATGCATCCAGATGGCTGTCAGTTCACACCAACAGTAGACGGCTTTTGAAATAAATTACAAGTCAGAAGTTTTTCCATAATTACCTTCTAGGCAAGTGGGTCAAGTTCAGCCTGACTAGTTCTGCAATTAATGCAGACTCCAGAACTTCTAAATATTCTTCTCAAACATTAATTTTTTAACTTAACAGAAAACTTACGTTTTGTGTGTTATATAGCTCCTTCTTCAGTAACTTTTACCTTCATCTCAAAACAAACACTTGGGCAAAATTAGTTGTGCACATCTACGTGCAGCTATATAATCCAAAGGAATAAAACCTCTTCAGATAGAAAACAGTTTCTTCAAAAAACAAATCTTCCCCCACAGTTTTTAGCAGGACATACGGACACTTTAGCGCCACTCAACCTTTAGGCAGAACGTTTACTGATATTTGCTAAGACATAGTTTCTATTAAGAATATGAACACTGATGCAATTACATAATTTTAACTAAATATTGTCCACTGTGATAATTCACATCACCCAATTTTTGGTCTTAACAGCAGCCTCAAAAAGATGTTTCAGCCACCTCAAACCAACAACTTAATTCTGTTTTTTCATGCCTTGAACAACACAGGCCTACCAGGAACTCTGAATGTCTGTGATACTTTCCATTCTGCAAACCAGGAGGGCTCTATCCCCCTCCTTGATCAAAAACAGTACCTTATACCTGAAACTGCAAAGATCAATGCCTTTCGATAACCACTATCTTTTGAGGTACAAAGGCCTAACTTGTAGACAACCGAAACAATAATGCTTCTTAAAATTCTTGGGTTTCTGTCTTATTCAACAACCTGAGTCAGTAAATTTAAGGCAATGGGTGAAAAACAGCTAACATACCTACACAGTCTGACGCTGGAGTCATCCCCTCTTGCCGGTTAAATGACACTTGACATTATACGTTAAGTCAGAGTCCGAGTCCGATTAATGGACCCTCAACGGTGCCAGAGGATCTGCAACTGGAATTAGGTGAGCAGCCATTCCGGCATCACAGTAACACTTAAATTTCAAGGAAGAACTGACACTTAATCTCTGCAATCACAATTTGCGGCACACAATACCCTCGGAACCTACACATCATCATCATCTGGGATCAAAAAACCTTCAATCTCCATTCTATTACGTGTGACAGGACCACTGAATAGAAAATGCTACTGAGCTGCAAATTTCATGCCCTATCCTCTATCACCCCATCAGGAGAAAAAAAAAGGGGGGGGGCAAATTTAACAAAGATCCAGTAAGAGCGCCTTATGAGGCATATTCCCTATGACACTATTGATTTCAAACTACAAAACTTCTAAATGCAGTTCAAAGTTGTAATTAAACTTAGCTTAAATACACAAACCTACTTCTGCCCTCCAATGAACACCCATACAAGCCGAAAACGATTCTGCTTCCAAAGTTATGCAAATCAGCTCACAACTCACATTTAAAAAAAAAAAAAAAGTCTATCAATGCAACCCAGGAAACTAAAAACAATCAGTGCAAGATTCTGATGCAATATGCATACGTGCAATACTAATTTTCATTTTAATCTAATCTATACCCTTGATCTAGGGCCTAAAGCCAAGATTTAATCGAAATATGCTCAACCTCAAAGCGTCTACTTTTCTGTTTAGCAGACCGGATTACCGAGCTCACTAATCCACCAACAGTGTACCGAGTTCTGTGTTAACGGACAATAGCCCTTCGGAAGAGACCCCGCAGACAGACCCGAGAAAGCAATCGGTGCCTTGACACTCGCAAGCGGGCCAGAGTTCCATGTAGCCGAACACACCCTAGGCAGGATGCATTCGAGAGAGACACCAAAGAGACACGATCTAGAAATTCGAGCAGGGTTAGCTGCTACGGTCACCCAAACCATGGAAATTTTTCGCCTCTGTCTGCTCCCACGTTCTAAGCGAGAGTGACAGAAAGGCAGAGAGGGGCAGCGGCAGAAATGGATACAGGTCAAGTCTAAGTCGAATCCATCCTCTTGATATCTCCTTTTGTTTCTGCTAACGATCTCTTTGATGATGGCTGTCATGTCTGGGAGCCTGTGGCTGAAGAAAAAGGAGGAGAGAGATGGCAGAAGCTGCTGGTGGCGGGGCTTCTTCTGCAGGATGGAAATGGCTCTGGACTTGGCGGTAGCGGATGCCCCTCGCTCTGCCGCCGCCTGGCTCTGGACCGCAGCCGGGTAATGGCTGCTGCGGCGGCTGCTGGATGGTTGCAGCGACGGGGCCTGCTTCTCCTCAGCAGCCAGAGGCCTGGCCGCGGCCGCCGCGGGACGAGAAGGAGACGGCGAATCCTCGGGACGCCCGCTGCCTCCGCCGGCGGCCTCCGGAGCCCGGGCCGGGGGGGGTGCGGCGGCGGCGGAGGGGAGGTTTACAGCCGGCCCGGGTCCCTGGACGTGCCGCCGCCGCCGCCGCCGTGTTGGAGGCAGTAAGAGGGGAGAGACCAACTCTCCGGCGGCCCCAGCCCTGGAAATGGTGACAGGCGACTCCGGCCCCCTCCCCGGAGCTGCAGCCGCCGCGGCCGCCGCCGCCGCTTCTCCCCCCCGCTCCAGGAGCGGGAGGTGCCGCTGCTGCCGCCGCGCCTCAGCCGGCTCCCGCCCGGGCCCGCGGCTTCCACCGTCCCTTGCACGAGAAGCCGAGCGAGAGGCTGCACGGTTAGAAGAGAGGACGAGGACGAGGCAAGAGACGCCGCCGCTGCCGCCGCCGCCGGCCGGCCGGCTCCCCGAGGGCGCTGCCCCCGCGGCTGCTCACGGGCGCTGAGAGGGGCTCTGGGCCGCGGCCGCCGCCGTCTCTCATCTCCCTCGCCTGAGCCCGGCCTCGCCTCACAGCGGCTCAACTCTCAAACTTCCATCATGGCTGCAGCTTCCGAGAGGAGAGAGCCGAGCGCAGCCGCGGCTCGGCGCCCCAGCGCGTATCCTGCCGCAGTGCACAAAGAGTCCCGCCACATCACCGCCCGCCGGCCCGCCCGCCCCCTCCGCCGCCGCCGCCGCGCCGGGAGCCCGGCGCCTGGGAGCCCGAGGGGAGGTGGGAGGCGGGCGAGACCGCGTCGGGGGAGGGAGGGACGCGGAGGGGCAGGGGCGGCAGCTCCGGGGGCGAGCGCCGAGCTTCTGGCTTGCGGCCGCCACTGAGCATGCCCAGTGCGAGCGCCCGAGGCTCGCTCGGGCTTGTGCTAGGCGCCCGCCCGGAGCTGCACTTGCCGCGGCTTCTGCAGCAGCGCGGGGCGGGGGCTTGGGGCGGGGGAGAGCGGTGGAGGGGGAACGACCCAAGCCTCGGCCTGTGCCCAGAAACCCGGTCGGGGACGGGGAGGGCTGAAGGGGAGAGCTGAGGGTGCACTGAGCGGTGTCACTGACTTGAGTCTGAGGTTACCTGTGTGCACAGGGAGGCTCAAGTGACTCGCGCTGGTCGGGGTACAGGGAAACGCGGGTACGGTCCCCACCGCGAGGGCACCCCTCCCCCGCGCCTCCGCCCCCAGCCTCGTCCTTCTTTTGCACCGCTGTCGGATCACTGTAGTTGGCAGGGACTCGCCGACAGCAGCCTTTGCCGAGAGAGCCTACCTCTCTTCTCCCCCCCACCCCGCCGTGTCCTCAAGGTGTCAGTCTTTGCACAAAGAACAACCCCCTATTGTGTCTCCGTGTGTATCGCCTCATCCGGCTCGCTCTCCCCGCCCCACCTCCCGCTTCCCCAGCAACTCGGCTCCTTCGCCCTGAAAACGAGAGCTCGCAACCGAGCGCGCTGCGTGTGAGCACACCGTCCCTAAATGTCTAGGCTCCAAGGACCACTGCCCGCGTTGCCCGGAAAGCGTACCCCGGAGACGGGACCCACACCACAGCCCCCCACATTGCCCCCTGGAGAGCTGAGCATCCCACCCCTCGGAGATCCAGCTCGGTTCTCGGCGGCGGACCGAGGCTCGGGACTCAAGAGCTGCCTCGCCCCGCCCCCTTTCGGGCCGCTGTGAAAACCCGGCCGGGTGGATCGCCGCGGGCCGGCTTCCGCGATCCCCGAGCCGAGCTGCGCACGCCGGCGGCCGGCGCTGCCCGGGCCCGAGTGTGAAATACCGGACGGTAGGAAGCGGCAGCCCCTGCGAGTGGGCGTGGCCGAGGAGACAGAGGAGGGTTCAAAAGGAGGTGGAGGGATACGCGGGTCACAGTCGGAACTACTTTCAGGAGGAGGTCACGTGTGTTCCTAGTTGGGGAACTTTCCAAATTCCCACTCCCCTATGATGGCTGGGGAGCAAGTGCTTCTCGTCCTTTGCCCGGGGTGCTGCTGCCGTGTGTCGGCAGCGGAACCTCGAGCCTCCGGGTCGCGGCGGAAACGCAGGCTCCGACGGCCTCCGGCCCGAGCGCTGTCGGTGCTGGCGCCGGGGGAGCTGGTTACACAAGCACCCACATTCGAGCACGTGCCCCCGCCTCCCCGCACCGCTGGCCGCGGCTTCTCGCAGACCACGGAGGGAGAGCTTCCAAGCTGGTCCTACGCATTCGCGAGCTACCTACCGAGCCAGCTAAAGGGCCAAGACCTGAGACGGAGCTCTGGCGCGGCCAACAGTGCGCGTTCCTCACCGTGGGAGAAGGGGCAGAGCCCCGGGGGTCTGGCATTTCCCTCCCTGGTGCCCTGCGCTAGCAGGGACGCACCTTCCTGCTGCTGTGCACCGGGGGCAAAACGGTATCTCCTGCAGCAGCCCGCTGCTTGAATTCACCAGCGTTGCGACAAACTTCCAGTCACTACCCTTAAGCTGGTGAGCGCGCCCCACCTACTGTAGACTCAGCCAAGTGACTTATCTGGTCGGAGAACCTAGTCAATGGCCATCAGCCCAGAACAAACCTGTCAAGTCGACTAACAGCCCTGGTTGGTTGACCTATCCCTGTGAGAGAGCCGGTTCAGAAATTCGGAGAGCTGGAGCGCAATTACCATGACATTGATCAGCTGCGGCAAAGAGAGTTGTCCACTTTCTGCTCGAAAAGAATGAGTATCAATCAACATCAATCTAGGAATTTCTTCCTTTTCTTTCCCCCTGGGAAGTAGAACTCAAGGAGACAATCGGAGTCCAAAGTATCTGAGTTGAGACTTGGGCTGAGGCGCTGGCTGTCCGGCTTGCCTTTTTTTTTTTTTTTTTTTTTTTTTAAAGACCTGGGAGAATGGGATCAGTTAGCATGTGTATTGCAGTAATTGTGAGTAGCTGCCTAGGAAGGTCTAAAAGGATTTATTCCGTATCTGCAAAAGAAGACTGTGCATGAGCACATCATGATTGCAGGCAGCCCCTTGAAGACTAGAAACCCCAAGAGGGCTTGCTTAGAAGCCACAGGCCATTACCTAATTCCACAAGTACTAATTAAACCAGGGATATTTACAGTGTTCTTAGAGATCTCCCAGGCTCCATAACACTTTGCATTTATAGACTACATCCTTTTAAGATAGCCCTGCAGGAGTTAGCAACCTGCTGAATCTTCCACGTTGATACTCACTGGAGGCGGTTTTGTGCATGATCCTAGTCAGCCTGTGGGAGGTGAAGGCCACAAGTGGAAAAGGAAATGGGGGGAGGGGCTGCGACAATCTGGAAAGAGTAGGAGAAAGGCCTCCATTTGGTTTCCAAAAATGAAAACCCAATCCACACAGCCTAGGGTAAGCCAGAGATTTCCTTATTTTACAAATAACCAATGATAAGGAGTCCCTGATTTGTAGGTGTTCTACTAGACTATGTGTTAAGAAACTGAGTTGTGCTCCATGAGGTAGCAAATACCACTTGGTGGGGAACGGGGAAATGAAGAGGAAGTTGAAGGGAGGTAGACTGGGGAGGGGTAAAATGTTCCACCTCAGTTTCTCAAGTCGCTGATCTTGTCTCCAGAGTCCACGGTGTTAGTGCTGCCCTACTCTGCCCCCGCCCCTGGAGCCTACCCTATCCTGAAATCCACTTCCTGGAAAGGAAATGGGTTCATGAGGAGACAGGACGCTTTTCCACTCCCATGGCACAGAGTTCTTGCGGAGAGAAGGCATGCACCACCTTGAAATGCTGGAATGGGAGACTGGCCCACAGCAGGAGTTCCTTTGTCAGAGGGAACAAAATGGAACAAGAGTTTTGCTGCTTCTCTGAACGTGAGCTCCCTCTGCTTCTCTCGAGCAACAAACGAAAAGGATCATCGATGCTGACAGATGTCTGGCCAGCCAGACAGTATCATCAGGTCGTTATTAGTAATTACTGAATAAACACCTCCTTCCCTCCCCAGTGTTAAATAGGTTCCTGAAGGAAACCAGTTTTCCTTCACTTCTTCCTTGTACCCAGGGGCTCGCCTTACCCGAGTGGTGGAGCTGAAATTTCCAAAGAGCTAACTCTATCAAATGCACAGGAAGTTTCAAATCTGTATATTGTTTTTCAACTTCACCTGCAGGTATCTGCTTGGCTGTACAGATATTACCAGACGTTGGTTTCCAGGCACTCTAGTTCTTTACCTGTCTGGATTCAGACTGCCCTAGGGAGAAACAGAAGCTTGTAACAAAGAGAGAATTATATAAAGCTTCAGGGAGACTAACTATGCGAATAATTAGTAAACATGATAAACCAGCTTTAATTATAGTTTCTAACAGCTGATTCCAAAACTGTATTGTTACTACACCCAAAGAATGTCCAAAGAAAATAACTTTCTTATTTTTTTTGATAAATGAAATGACCAGCAACTTGATGTGGGCGATATAAATAGTTGATGTGCTCTTTGTAGGTTCTGCTGCTAAAATGTCTTTTGTTGAACGCTGATCACTATAATGCCTTGCTCAGCTCCCACACACTGACCTTTCAAATAGAGATCTAAATCAATGGCTTTAATTTTTAAGCAATCTTTTCTATTTTTATCTGTTTAACCACTGTTTTCTAAATCATACAGAATAGAAAAATATAATAATTATAAGTCTGAATTTTAAACCACCCTATTATTCCAAGGGTCCAAGGCTTTTCCCCTTATTTCGCTTATCCTAATTACAAATATTGCTGTTCTTTTAAATAAAGATGTTTTTGCCCAAGACATGTCTCCAGAAGGCACTTTTCCCGAAGGCACTTCAAGTAACCATACCCTAAAAAAGAACTTTCCCTTCTTGTGTCTAAGCTGTCCCGGAGCTACTGCACACAGCACTTGGGTCTCCTTTCATGTCCCAGTAGAGAGGTGTGCTGTATGAAATGATCACTCTCAGAGAAACAAGGGTGGGGCCGGGTATTCCTGGGAGAACCACAGAGCAGAACAGGCATGCACGGGGTCCAAGCTGTGTTCAGAAATTGAACCAGAGAGTGATGGGAAAGAAAAGACCTAACATGACAAATCAGCTTTGACTGTCTGACTTTGGACTTTGACTGTCCAACCTAACACTGGCTATTTTATATTCTACTCTGGTCCTTTTGGTACTAACTCTAATTATAGTCCTATGGAACATATATTCTGCTTTTAGCTCTTCCAAGAATAGAAAAAAATAATAATTTTTATCTACCAGCAGGTGTTGGTGCATTTGCCAGGTGCATCCCAGAGTCGCCCTCTTTGGTCTAGGTGTAGGAGGGACATAGAGAAGGAGTCAAGGTTGCCCGTGCCTCACTCCTACAAATCTTCCCTTCAGGACATCTTTCTGCATCCAAAGCATCAATGTTTCTGAAGACGAAGAGCACCTTTTCGAAAGAAAAAAAAAAAAAAAAAAGAATGAGACAAACTCTTTTTAAAATATATTTTTTTGTCTTTCTTTTTCATGGTGTGGCATCTTTTA